TCCCACATTGAACATTGATTACCGTATTTTTCGTGAATAACTAAGTATTCTTTACCGACGGTAGCTGTTGGCGGAAATTTTAGCACAACGTTTCCGCTGGTGGTATCTGCTAGAATAATATGATACGTATCATCCAGATTATACAAACCTGCTGTAACGAGGGTGGTTACGGGTGTAGGGTTAACAATTTGACCATCGACATAATTCTTAGTAGAGACGTCTTGCGCGTTCACGGGATCCGACACGTTCGTTAACGTATTTCCCGCCATATCGATGGAACCAGTTACGGTAGCCCCATTCTTTCGTAGAAAATTCTTATTGACGTACGACAGAGACACACCGGGTTCTGGTGGTGGGATGTTGTACGTCATATATCCAAATTTGTGAATAGGCATTCATTTATCCATGTAATTTTTATAAATTAATTTTTAGAATGAAATATATATATTTTTGTTGTTGTTATATACAAAGTTGAGCACATCACCTACATTTAAACTGATTCCTCTCACATCCGAAACGTGATTAAATTCTCCTTGTGGCTTTAAAATTTTACATTGAGTTTTACTACCATTAACCACGAGGACTACACCAGCCTCTTCGGGAGTGGATTCTGGTGTTGTAACCGACATACCTATTTTCAAAACTTTAGTTGGTGCTAGCACGGTATAGCCAGCGTTTTTACCTGTTGCACCATCGTACTTCCCTTTCACCAGTCCACCTTTTTCTTCAGCCCAGATAGTTATATATTTTTATTCATTTTTCTTTGTAATTTTTGTGTATTCATTAATAGCTGAGAATACTTGTACTCTTAGATCCTGGATATCCATCTCTAATTTAGTCACATCAGCTTTTCTTTGGAAATTCTTATTGACGTACGACAGAGACACACCGGGTTCTGGTGTTGGGATGTTGTACTCTGACGTCATATATCCAAATTTGTGAATAGGCATGTTTTTTTAATATATATATATTTTTTATAAATCAATACAATCCGTTTATGATCTCTTGAAGCTCTCTCCCCGCGCTCATCTCTTTTAGAACGTATAAACACAAATGACCGCAAAATACCTGATCGGCTGGCTGAACCTGCTCTGTATTGTACAAGATCCCTCGCTATAGGATATCAACTCATTCGGAGGTTGTATGCCATAGCTATCGAAATAGTATTTATTTTTTCCTTGTTTGTACCAGGCGGTCCAGTGCGTTCCTCCTCCGTCACTAGAATCTAAATTCAGAATCCCACATTCATTTCTCTTTGGTCTCTTCGGAAGTGTATCGCGCAGAAATACTCCTCTAAAGTTTGGTATTTTCAATTCATCTGCAGCCCTCATTAACTCGATATTACTTAGCGGTTTATTTGGCAGAACGACTTTTCCCACTGAAATGTTCATTTTTATATATATCTATTAAAGTTTAAAGTGTCCGTGGGCTAGTGTGCGCATCCCATCCTGGAGGATGATTCGCTTGTCGTCATTTGCCGAAAGAGCTATTTTGTTAATTTCTTCGGTGTACACATCATGACAGTGGCTCCTGATGACGTTCATCTTTCTCAACTGATCCTCACCCGTAAACAAACATTTCTTGTAATCCTCAAACGAAATACTCTTTCTGACAACGGACCTTTTCACCCCCTTACACTTCTTCTCCTCATACCCCTCAAGCAACTTGTAACTGTACAACTTAGCTCTCAACCCCACGAATTCTCGGATGATCTTACCTCCTGCCTCGTCCTTGAACATCCCCACCACTTTCTTGTTACGACCGACTTCGATGCCCGATGGGTGATCCTTTGGGAAGTTGCTGGTGTCAAACTTGGCTGCCACGTCACCAGAGATGTCCTTGTAAAAGTCTTCCGTCTGGATTTCGTATGCCAAGGAATCGGTATCGGTAAACAGGAGTTTTGCCTTTTCTCCGTACTTTGTCTTCATGTAGTTGTAATGGAAGTCGTACATCAACGTCTTGCTCAGATCGAGGATGCACATCCCGAGATAAACGGGCTTGTTGAACTTCAGTTTCGTCTTTTTCATATGTACGGCAACCAGGTTCTCGTCGAAGATGGTGCAATGTTTAAAATTGGGTTTTGCTGCCAACTTCTTCGCTTTTGTCTCGTCGTTGACTAGTCGGATATCCACTCGGCTCCTAATGTTCTCCATAGTCTTTCCGAAAACAGAGTTGTTCATGAGCTTGAAAAAGTCCTTTTCAAACTCATTGTTTGCCTCTGCTCGGAGATTGGTGTTCAGGTCGATGTATTGCTTCAACCATGCACTTTCCTCGAACCTGATGCCCCTGTGGATCTTTGTAATCTTCATTCCCAAGCCCTCGTATAGTTTGAGGTTCTCGTAGTGAATGACATAGTTAGTTTTGTCATTGAGATTGGGAATAAGCTTTTCCACATTATGGACTTTGAGACTTTCTGGAGCGAGCGGATAGTCATTGTGGAGATCATGCAGATCCTTTGGATATTCAAGGTCAACCTCCAGTATACAGCTGTGGTTCTTCCAAGAGTCCAGTTCACTGTCTGTCATCCACCCGAATCCGTGTGTAGGGAGCGGTTTGCTCATGGCCCAACCATAGAGATTGTTGGCATCCAAATAGGCAATATACTTCGCAGGATCATGGGGGTTGAATGTTTCACCCATGTATGGGTTGTTTGCTTTGCCATATCTGTTGCTGATCATCGATATCCCGCCTCTGATACCTTTCTCCACCATGAGCAACATGTCTGGATCTGATAACAGCTCCAACTTCACTTCGGTGATTTTCAAGGCAGCGTCCCATGCTAGTCCAGGCGCTGTATAATACCAGGCAGGGTCAAGATCGTAGTTCTTGATGCAGACGTCTCTAAAGTTCTCGAAGACATCTGCCAAGAGCAACACGTCCGACTGGTTGTACAGTTCGTGGTAGTCCCTGAGTGACTTCATGCCAAACTCTTTCCACACAGTTTGTGCATGCTCATAGTCATCGTCACTAATCTCTTCTCCACTGAGTCTGGAGTAGAACGCTACTTTTCGTGGAAGGGCTGTTTCATCTAGTCTTTTGAGTGAATCCATATATTCATATGGGTAGACACCCTTTCTCATTAGTAAGTCTAGATGTTTTCCGTTATAGTACTTCGAAGTGTTAGTGAAGCAGTCCTGATCCAGATTACCGGACAGCTTATCCAGGCTAGAGGCCATGAACTTGAAGCTGTCGATGAATCTGAGTTGGTGCTTAACATCCTTCTCTTTCCCGTCCTTGCCAGTATAAGAACCGACAACAACCTCCTTGGTGAAGCTGATGTACTTTTCCTCGTTGTTCGGGATGCAGTTGATGTTCCCCTCAGTTTTACCGAGGTTCTTGACGAACAGATGACTGTCATAGCCGCTCAGATTGTGGAACACCACGGGAGTGAACTTCGGCTTCTTGTACTGCAAGTTACAACTATTGTGAGCTGCACCTCGGTATTTCCCAGTAAAGTGACAGTGATCTCTCACCTTCTTGTCATCCTTACTGAACTCACCTTGGCAGATCCAGCACTTTGTCGCCTTTTGGAATTGTTTGCGGTCATTTTCCCCAAAAATCATTGGTTTCGCCGGAATTTTGCCAATTTCTTTGATGTCTTTCTCCAACATTTCTACGAATATTTGGGAGACATCTTCGTCGTCAGTTTTCGCGGTGTAGGTAACCGGATCTTTAGAGAAGACACCATCATCAAAGCATTTGATGTAGTAACAAAAGCTCGATGGGGTGTGTTTCTGGTATTTCTTCGTGTAGCTCTTTCCCGGACACGGTTCACACGTATCTACGGGTTTGATGAAAGATTCAAAGTCAGCATACACTGTGAACGGCACTCTCATGGACTTGTGTATGTGCCCAAACGAAATGGTCGAGCCCTCTTCTGGCATCTCTATCTTGACGGCCTCGTTTGAATAACAGTATTCCATGTGCTTATTCAACGATTCCTGTGAGTAGAAGGGGTTCAAACATCTGAGACAGTAATAATTTTTGTGTTGGTGGTTTCCGGTTTGGCTGGACAACAAACGGCTCATGTCTTTGATGACGCAGTAATGCTGCTTTTCCCCATCAGAGATCAATAAAAGGTTTATTGTTACCCTATCAACGTGTTTGCTTATTCGGAGGGGGTAAACACTAGTTTCATAGCCAAAGACATTAATAGATATGTCTGGGTTTTGCTTCTCGACATGATCTATTGTCTTAAGACTAACTGGGTAATCAATACCGTCCATGTTGAGTTTTTCTGCTTGCATTCTGAGCATCTTAGTTATGCGGCAAGCATCACGTTCTACGGGATGTAATGCTCGAGCCAGTGCCCAGAGGAAGCATCTGTTGTCATCATTTTTGACATTGATCACTCCCTTCTTAGGATGTGCAAGGGCCTCCGGAGTAGGGATGTAAGAGCTCCCCCTCAACGGTTCATAAGCAACTGTATGAATTTCAATGGCAATGATAGATTTAAATGTCCAGTTGCTGCCTCGCAACTGGAATGTCGCCATGGCCTCCATGACTCTATCTACCATTGCATCATACAGCTCATCTGCATCTGTTCCCTCGAGGTTAATCTCGACATTAGAGTGAAAGGCTGCAGGCTCTACGATTGTTTCCGAGGCACTAACAAGGTTCACTTTTTCCATGTTACATCTAAGAATTAGCTTTACCTTAGTGCCTCGGATTCCTCTCAAGAGGTTAACTACATTTTGTCGGGCTGTGTTGAGAAACGATTGAGCATCAAACCCCTCTCTGCCATCTATGGTATATTGAGTCGTAAATTTCCTCAGAGCAGATCTTGTCTCTCTGATTTCAAACATCTGCTGCTTTCTGAATAAAGCATCTACTTTTTCCTTCAAGGCTTTTAATTTCGATGGGGCCTTCTTAACAACTTCTCTGTCTGCATCATGCAGCCATTCAACCCAATCTACAGCAGCTTTGATCGATTTATTTACTTTTTGTTTAACCTTGTCCCTGGTTGTAGGGATAAGGACAGGTTGAAGAGTCGGCACATTGATGCTAGGTACATCTGCATCTAAGAAATTTTGATCTGGAGGATTCCTCTGTGGGATGAAAGCCGATGCCAGTCGTCTTGCTCCTCTAGCAATGTTTGTTGCAGCATTCATAGCCGCATTACTAATTCTTCTGAAAAGACTCATTGTTTTTATTATATATAGATTTTTTTTTCTATAAGCCATTTTCAATTTTTTTTTATTTTTTCATGAATGTTGTATATGTTAACCCACATACAACATTTTTTTTTTGCTTACATCTTGCTAATTCCTCTGGGGTCACCCACTTTAATCTCATACTTGTTTTTCCACACCCTTCCATCCCAAAAGGTTATTATCCTCGAGGATTTGTCTATGAATTGAGATGCCTTATAAATGGATGGAAATGTAATCTCCTCTCCAGTATTAACATCCCTCAACACAACAGGTTTGGGGTTATTTCTAACTGCCATTGGATCTACCTCTTTCTTTGTCTTCACTGGTTTGGGTGGTTCCTCTGGTATTAATTCCTTTCCTTTCAACAGCTCGATCAGCCGCTTCTTGCCGCAATGAGAATAACCTTTGATTTTATTCTCACGAAGAATTGTTTTCAACTCAGACAGTTTCAACATTGTTTTTTAATTATAGATTTTTATTTTCTTAAAGTCATTTTCAAGAAATGTAGAAATCTAGCTATATACAACGTTTACCTTCTTCCCATCGGTCTTGAAGTTTATCATCTTGTCACTAATCACAACAGCAAATGCTTCGGTACCCGCTGGCACGTTGGCATTAAACTGCATTTTTATTTGGATGTCAGTGACTGCGGTCTTCAGTCGCTCACTCTGCTTGCTGACGTCGAACACAAACAGTGGGAAAAGAGTCTTGTAATCGGCGGGGGTGATGTTGGGGTTTGACACCAACTCGTCCATGTTGTAAAACTTGGACCTGAAGGCTGCTGCATCACCGTACGCCCGACTGAATTGCTGTTTGGGAAAGGAGAGGTTGTAGTCAACTGCGGGGTATCTAGCCGAGTTTAGCATGACAAATATATTCCTCACATTGACGTTGTCAAAGATGGAAGGATTCTGCTCTTGGTCACCGTCTTTGTCAGTTTGGAAACCGACAATGATATAGCGCGGTCTTTCAGGCGCTGATTTGACAGATAGTCTCCAGGTGAAGCTAGTTGACTGTGGTACGGAGATGGAATCACATTGCCTGATCCTGTACATTACGGGTAGAAGCGCATTTGAATCGAGTGTCTTGTAAAGCTGAAATTTTTCAGCATCTGCGGGTAGTACATGAGGCATAAACCACGACACCTTTTCGAGGGTAATTTTCCCATCATCAACATTTGCATTCCTGAAGATCGCATCGTTGTCCGTTTTCCGCACCAGAGTCAGGGTTTGTTTCATACCATACACAATTTTGTCATAGTCTTCGCAAAATCCAAAGATGTGCTTGAGTGGTACTCTGAAACTAAATGTGCCCTTTGGATCAGGAGATTTGATTATATAGGATTGGCGAACGCTAAATCCGGCATTGCCTGCTGCTGCAGCTGCAGATGCTGCAGCTGATGTGTCCTTGTACCACAATTGATTCAAACCCTGCGACTTGGAGAAGTCATCTGGATATTTCAACAGACCAAGCATCGTTGTACCCTGTCCTGGATGAAAGAGAGATTCAATCTCCTGTCCTGAAAGCTGGTACTTGATGTTGCTGAAAAGATACATGAGAGCATTATTCGTCAGTGTAACGTTATCATCGTTTGCGTAAGCGGTCCCGTCAGTTTTTGTCAGACGCCCTTCGATGATCAGATAGCTCTCGCTTGGGTGAGTAAACAGATCTTGTGTTTCAATATTGATCCTGAGCTCACCTGGGTTATTGAGATTCGTACCGGTAATCGGATCGTACTCATGGTGTTCGTATTCTTCGATGCTCTCATCCTTCATGGGAGCCTCAGTAAAATTTAGAATGTTCATCATATTTTATTTTTTTATTAGCAAGAGAAATTTTTTTTATATCATTTTACAGATATAAAATTTTTTACAGAACCCACAAATGGGCGAGCGCCCTGCCAGCATTATTAACATACACGTCCGACAACACAATACTATCAAGGTGTTCTTTAGGAGTACATTTCCAATACATTGCACAAATTTTGTTTTCGTAGACAAGCTTTATCTTGCCTAAACCACCGTTATAAAGATAATCATTAACCTCTCCCTCAATCTCTTCATCCTGTCTACCTTCTCTTCGGGTAGTTTCAAGACAACACCTCTATGATGCCCATTTACATCTTCAGTTTCAAGGAATTCACACCCTTCAAGGCTGATCCTTGCATTCTTGACAAAAATACATGAATCGCGTGTTTGGTAATCATGACGCTTGAATTCGATAGCCATTTTTTTTATTATAGATTTCATTTTTCTTTAAGTCAATTTTAGACCAGATCCTTGATTCAATCTTTTGACGAGGTCTTGAATCGCAATCGCCCTCTGTTGCTGCATTCCGCTCCCATCTATTAGTGAATGGATATTCTGATCAACTGGGGATGACTGCTTCGCCGGTGTACCAGCATGCTTTTGTAGAATTGCTCGAGATTTGGGTGTAAGAGCTTTACGTGCGAGACCGCGCACTCCTTTCTCAAGGAACTTCTTTCCAGCATCAAGAGCTGCAGTCTTTCCAGCATCCATAGCTTTCTTCCCCAACTTCCTTCCTTAGCAACGCTTTTACCAGCATCTAGAGCGGTAGAGGCTTTAAATATATAGTTTATTTGTTTCATTGTAAATAAACATCATTGTTATAATCTCGCAGTTTCGCAGCATTCGTGCGATTTAGCATCAAGAGCTGCAGTCTTTCCAGCATCCATAGCTTTCTTCCCAACTTCCTTAGCAACGCTTTTACCAGCATCTAGAGCGGTAGAGGCATCTGTTTCGCAGCATTGCTAGTAAATAATCTAGTGAAAAAACTTGCGATGCTATCAAACATTCCAGCACCGCCATAGACATACTGTCTTCTAAATCCACGATTCTTTGCTATAAACATTATTTTTTATAGTCTAGATATTATTTTTTTATATGCATTGACGTCCAGCACCTTTTGTCTTTTTAGTTCATCGCAAATCGATACAAGCTCGTTCCGAACGCCTGTGTTACCCGCTGCCTTGCTTGCCATCAGCAGGTCTAGTCTTTCGAGCAATGCATTAGGATCGCTAGGAATGACAACAGATGTGCCGCTCCCTTCGTAATAATCCCTATTAGTCCAAATGGTTCTAAGCACATTCTTCCATTTCAACCCCTTGCTGGCCTTTGGTCTGTTACTCTCTGGATCGTTGCCTTTTTTGAGAGCGTTCGATTCAATCATCATCTTCGCGTAATTTTCGTAGTCCTGGTCGGTGTATATTTGATCGTCTGGATTCTTGGTTACGATGAGTTCCCACAATCCCGGTGTTCCTTGGTACTCTTCACCATCCACTACTATGTTATCATCTACAAAGGCGACGGGCTTATTGCCTATATAAAAATTGCCGTTCTTATCGTATAGCCCGTACGTTCTATCAGCCTCGGATTTGGAAGCGAACTTCCTTAAATATTCTTGCGCGATTGGTCCGATAAACTGCGTATCAGTATCTTCCTTTTCTTGTTGTTGAAACCCCTCTATAGATGGAAACGCTGGAAATGTGATTTTCTTCAATTCCGATATGTTTTCTTTGATGGGTCTAATATCAGACCTTATGTCTTCTGCCGTACTTTTTTGTACGTCCGTTATAGGCTTGAATATTTTACCGAGATCTGTTTGTAACTCTCGTTCACCAGTCCGTCTCTCTATCTCTCTGTTTTGGAGCCTCTTTTTCAGCTCGAGAAACTCTTTTACGATTAAATCCCTTTTCTCGGGATCTGTAATCTTTAGAAATGACTTTTTTTTTGTTTCTAAAGATAATATATCTTTTTTCATCTCGATTTTCATCTCACTTTCCATCTCACTTTTCATTTCGATTTTCATCTCGATTTTCATCTCACTTTTCATCTCACTTTTTATCTCGATTTTCATCTCGATTTTCATCTCGATTTTCATCTCACTTTTTCTCAAACAACTTGCGGAAGGACTCGCGGGTTTCCTGCCTTCCCTGTTCGATCAGGGATTGCTGTAGGTCGTAGTCCATGTGCTTCTTGGAAACCTTTCTTACTTCTTCCTTCATCTCGCGGTACTTGACCAACTCTGCTAGTATGAGTTGAAATTCCTCATCACTTACTGCATTATCGGCTAGCGCCTTCGAGATGTACGACGATATCGTGTTCAGTTTTGCTTGTGCCAAAACCTTGATCTTTTCGTGCTTTTCGGCTTTGGCCGCACACTTCCTATTCACATATTTTCCGACGATACTCAGAGCTCCGGTAGCAAGCGCAACGCCCTCCATCACGACAACAATCGGTGCTGCTACTACCGTAGATAAAAGGCTAACACCACCGATGCCAAGCCCCATGGTGACGCCGATAAGACCAACATCGACATCATCCACTATCTTCACGGCTCTGTGGTACTTCTTGCTGAGGGTCTCACGCTTTTCTCTCTCTTCCTCGAGAATCCTCTGAATCTCGTTAATTTTCTGTAAACGATAACCTTGTCCCTCATCTTCAGGGGGAGCTGTTGGCAACTTTGGATAAAGCGCCGTATCATTATTCACTTTGTTGATTTCCATATTTTTATATGTGTGAGATTTTTTTTATGTCATATAATGTATGAGACATAGAGGCTCGTTTTCCTCAATGACAACAACCCCGTTCGAATTGTTCGCGATGTTTATCACCACATCATCAACACTTTCGAGAATGGCTTCATTTTGTATACTGCATTGCCTCATTTTAAGGCTTTGCTTTAGTGTCGTTAAAACCATACCACTAGTCATCCTCAATCCAAACCTTAATCTAATCGTTTTATTTTCTTTTGGTCCGATGGTAAGTTTATTTTGATTGAAAATTTCCCACGTTACTGGTTGCACCTTCTGTGGAGGATGTTTTACATCCATTACCGGTATCAAGTAAATCGTCTTCGGCTGTCTTGGCAAGTTATACCAATTTTTCGGTTTTACACCAAATTTGTGAACAGGCATTCTTTTTTTAATATATATATATATATTTAATATATATATATATATGTTCATGACCACGTATGCATGAAACACTCATAATATTGCACCGAGGATCGGAATGTTGTTGAATGGGCTGTTAGGTCCCAGGATAAGACCCTTCCCATTATACCATCTCCTTTCTTTATTTATATAAAGTCCATCACCAACGGCTTCTAGACCCGAACCGGTCGCGGGTCCTAAATAAAGTCCTTTTCCGTCTGTCTCTATCTGGCAAACACAACCTCCTTTCTTGAGATACAACCCGTTCCCAACCACCTTTTGCACTCCCGAACTAGCCAAACCAGAAAGAGCGCCAATGCCTAATGCTGGAAGTACCGTCTTTGCCAAAACAGGCAATGCACGCGCTGCCAAACCAGCAAGCATCCCAAGGAAACCGCCCTCAACTTTCATATTGTGTTTGAGTTGAGCTTTACTCATTTTGATGGTTATTCCTTTACCACCTTCATAGGCTTTGGCTAATCTCTTCACTTGTCTGTCTGTCAGTGCTAAGACATCTTCACCGTTCAAATCTTCGTGACCAAAACGGACACTGACAGGACAACCGTTTTGAAGGGCCTCTCGTAATTTTTGTTTCTGCCCTTCTGAAACATTCAATTTAACATTCGTATATCGTGACATTTTATATATACGAATATTTTTTTTATTACACTTGTCTGATGTGAAACCTCAATGATAAATTATCTCCTCTTAAATTTAGCAGCGTGCCATTTTGGTCGGTGAGTGAAGTCTCAAGACTGTGTATGGTGTCTAGTGTCACGGGAAGATACACCAAATTTCGTGGTGTTTCAACTATTTTATGTCCAGGGGTGACATTTGGAAAGAAGGAGTATATCGTGTGTTGTGAAGCTCCATTAACGTAGCTCCCTGAGATATTGTCAACATTAACATGCAAGCTGACAATACTAAGAATGTTGACGACATTTTCAGACTCCTGAAATCCTAGTGCGTAAATGTCGTGGTTAAATCCTAACACACTGGAAATGGAGTTGGGATGCCTAAAGTCTATTTGGTAATTATTATCTAAAATAAGGACAGTCTTTAGTGTGTTCGTGTTTGCAGAAATTGTAACGTAATATTCCTCATTGACACTGCCATAGTGTCCATTCTGCCTCATCTTTTGTTGAATTGTGTCGTTAATGTCATCGATGTTATAGATACCTTCTGGTAAATAAATTTCGAACCACGTTGTTCCGCCATCGGGCGAGTATCTAAAATAATTATTACTCGCATCAATGTTAGGAAAAGAGTAGTAAGTCTCGAGATTGACGAGTGCCATCTCGTGCTTTTTCTTTTTGTCGAGTTGAATTGGTGGATTGAACCTAGTTCTAAATCTTGTCTTGTTGCTATTCAGGACAATCTGAAACGAGGTTTTAGGCTCAGTGTTTTCAGCTATTTTTTCAAGTATTGATTCCATTTTTTTTATAATATAATATTTTTTTTTTAACTCGGAATATAAAATGTATCAAATCCACTTCTGTACTTACCGTTCTGCCTGTTACTGGTCAGGTCGATCACTACGAACCCATGTGGTTTTTCCCATGCTACCTTGCACAGACCTTTGAATTCATCTTTTGACATGTCTTGACTCACATGATCATTATAGATATGGTTGATATTCTTCAGGTCTTGTGGGAACAAGCAGATAAAGTTTGCATTTTCTCTTATCGTTTGGCGTGGTAGCTTGAAGTAGTTTTGTGAAAGGTAGAAACAATCTACATTGCTGTGTCTTCCACGAATATAGTAAGACTCTCATTTATTCTGTTTCTCCAACAGTAAATCATCAAATATCATTAAATTCTTGTTTTCGGAACTTAAATCATGGGGGTCTGGGACGTCTTCGGCAGATTCGCAAAAGCAGCATTGTATGTCCGACTTGTCTTTCAGTTGTTTAGACCATGCCTCAACAAGCGCTGAGGGTGACACATCTAACTTCATTACCTCATCGCGCAGGGCAAACAAGCGCATAATAGCTTCTTTTGGCAATTTCTCTTCAAAAGCTTTCTTGAGGATGCGGTATTCAGGTTGGAATAGACTCTTGCCGAATACTGCTAGCTTGTTATAGTCAAGCCAACCCGGTCTCAGTAAAAGATTGAGCAAAAGTGTGGTTTTACCACACCCGATTTGCCTACAATCACTCCCCTTATGCTCTTTGGCAGAAGCTTGTGATTGAACCGTTTTGATACCATTTCATTCCACGATAAATCTTTGACTTCCATATTTTTAATATAAATATTATTTTTTATATATAAAAACATAATGTACTGCCTTAAATGCAAAAGAGCCACTGAAACAAGTGATGTTCAAAACGCTGTTTCTAAAAATGGACGAAATATGAAGCGGGGTAAATGTGTCGTGTGTGGGACAACAAAAACACAATTTGTAGGCGGATCAATGGTGAATGAAGCCATCAATCATTTACCGTTTGAAATGCATCTCCCGGGACATAATCTTACGGGACCTGGAACTAATCTCGGTAAAAGGCTGAAACCAGACCTCACACCAAAGGAATGGAGTAAACCTATCAACAGGGTTGATAATGCTGCATACCATCACGATGTGTGTTACTTGAAAAACAAGGACACTAATACAAGAAATAGGGTATGTGACAAGAATATGTTAGCTGAACTGGGTGGAATTGTTAACCCTACAGAGGTTGGATAGATCTATTGTGGACAAGATCATTGGCACTAAGATGAGGTTTGGAATGGGAGTGGGAGGGAAAAAAAGCAGCAGGTTGAGGAGATGAGCTCAACACTTACAGCACTCAAAGCATTGGCTGAAGAATTACACAGACCTGTGAGAAAAAAGTTTGAGAGAAAGAGGGTACGTGTTAATGGCATCGATGAAATTTGGGCCGCAGATTTGGTAGACATGCAGGCATTCTCGAAATTTAATCGCGGCACCAAGTATCCCCTTGCCGTTATCGACATTTTCTCCAAGTACGGTTGGTTAGTGCCATTAAAAGATAAAACGGGGAAATCGGTCGCAGCTGCACTGAAAAAGATACTCAAGGGGAGGAAACCGAAAAAGATTTGGGTGGATAAGGGCAAAGAGTTTTACAATAAAAACGTGCAGAGTTTAGTCGAGTTATACTCGATTGAAAACGAGGAAAAATCGAGTGTGGTGGAGAGATGGATCAGAACGATGAAGGTAAAAATGTGGAAATATTTTTCCTCCAATTCCACGAGTGTCTACATCAATGTGCTCGACGAACTTGTCGATCAGTACAATAATACGACACACTCGTCAACAAAACATACACCCACCGAAGCCAGCAAGAAGAAAAATGAAACCCGAGTGTGGATGAATCTATACCCCAACCATGATGAGCCTAGGATAATTCACCCCAAGTTTTCCGTCGGAGACGCCGTGCGGATAAGCAAGAAAAAGAAAACCTTTGAGAAGGGCTATCAACTGAGATGGACGGAAGAAGTATTCACGATAACGGCGGTACAACGCACGTCGCCCGTAACGTATAAGATTAGCGACCAAAACGGAGAAGAAATTCGGGGTACCTTCTACGAACCCGAGTTGCAGAAGACGAGCCAAGAGGTATACAGGATAGAAAAAGTCGTCAAGAAGGGTAAAACGAGGTCGCTGGTCAAGTGGAAGGGTTATCCAGAGACGTTCAATTCATGTGTCAGCAATAAGGAGATAGTCGAGCTTGCGAGGCCGCTCGTTACATTATAGAATGTTTTTTCTTTAAGTCATTTTTAGAAACGTCATTTTTCTTTAAGTCATTTAGACCATGTTTAAACATTGTTGTGGTTGGTTTTGAGCTTGTTGAGTCGGATGTGTTAGTGGTTGGTTTTCAACCCTAATATGAAAATGCGCTCATACCGGCAATTTCTTACTACTACCATCCTATCACCCGGTTACTTCCTAATGCCTATAAAATACAGCCCTATCACCC